AGTCCAACTATGCATTTTCTACACCCATTTTAGAGTGACTTCTGTCCTTCATTCATCCTTTCCTTTTTTTAACCTCAAATTCCATTTCTCCTTTTCCTCTCTCCTACTATCACAATTTTTCCTTCTATTGATTTCTTTTCATCTTTCCTGTCTAGTGCCCTTCCTCTCCCCCTCCCATTTTTTTCTCTATAGCAATGGCTGCCAACCAATTTACCATTGTGGGCTGCAGATACAACTGTGTGTGTTATGTGAACCACCTTCTCACAATACATACACGGCCTATAAGGCCGTGAGAACACCACATGGGCTGCAGTTTGGTGTTGACTGGGCCACAAGTGGTGCACAGAATGATGGGGGAAGTTATAGAACATTAGTTCTCAACCTATTGTCCTGACCACTTCCCTCATTCTCTAAATCTCTTCCTCTCCTCTCACATCTACAGTGATGGTGCCTTCATGACCCCTGCTCCCACTTGTAGCCACTCACCAGATTCCAGCACATCAGAGAATCCTAGTACTTGTTCTCTGTGTTTTTGGCATTATCCCATGTTCTCCCATTACTGTTATTACTGTATCAGAACTTCAAGGCTCAGCTTGCCTGTTGTTTCCACTTATGGAGACCAACATCTGAAAACAATCTCTTTTCTAGCTACACATGTACCTCATGCCCTCCATCCCTCTCTACTATGCACACCTGCTATGCTGAAGGTTCTAGTCTGCAAGAAAGCAAGGATTTCCTCAGGAAGTTAGAGAAAGGCCATTAACAACTGTTCTATGAGCAAAACATACCAGTTGTGACTATTGCTTCAGTTAGACCCCTAGACCTAGTAAGCTTGGGTAGCTACTAAAACTAATTCACCACTAGTACTATAATTCACACACTGACCTCGTCTGCAGAGTATTTTTTCCCCTGGTAGGATGGTACATTTCCTCAAAGCCATAATACATTTTTTTCAATTAAATCTACCGACTAATAAGATGTTATCGACCAACTACTGAAAACCCACCCATGGTAAGGATGTAAGAGTTTAACCACTTAACCAATAAGCATCAGCTTATCTGTTTCAGTTGCGGTTAAACTTTTCTGTCAGCACACGCTGTATCCCGGCTGCGCGTCCTACTCCTGGGAGCCTGCTTCTGGTGCCACTCGCAGGGAGCAGGCTATGCTGCAGACTCTACAGCAGGGTTTCCCAACCTATGGGTTGGGACCCAAATATGGGTCACCATTACATTTCAAAGGGGTCGCCAGGTGTCTCCTCAGGTGGCTCTTAAGGAGCCATTCACACATTTTTTGAATTGCCCTGGATCACCAAGTCTTCCTGAATTGTCAAAATGGGTCCCCATCTGGAAAAGATTGGGAACCGCTGCTCTACAGCAGTGGTCTCCAACCTTTTTAAGCACAAGATCACTTTCTGAATTTAAGTGCAGTCCAAGATCTACCTCAAATATAAATACCCTTGTCCCGCCTCACTCCCATCCCTTCTCCGCAGCCCCCTCCCCTGCTCACTCCATCCTTCCTCTCTTACCCATCCTCACTTTCATGAGGGTGGGGCAGAGGGTTGGGGTGCAGGCTTTCGTCTTGGATTAAGGGATCTGGAGTGTGAGAGAGGCTCTGAGCTGCTCTTGGCACAGGCAGCTGGGATGTAGGAGGAGGTTTTAGGTGCAGTCTCTGGGACAGCGTTTGGATGCAGGGGTGCTTGGGTCTTGGCGTGCAGGAGGGGGTCCATGACTGGGGTAGGAATTTAGGCTGTGGGCTCCAGCTGGGCCCTGCCTACCTCTGGTGGCTCCTGGGTGGTGGTGCAGTGGGGCTAAGGCAGACTCAGCTGTGCCCTGGCCCTGCATCACTCCCTAAAGCAGCAAGCAAACTCCCTCCCAAGTCCTGTTGTACCCCCTCTGTGCTTCCTGGAGAAAGGCTACAGAGTGGGAGAGGGGGCATCTTGACATCAGCACCCTTCTCTCTCTCCCCTGTCCTGCACAGAAAGCAGGAGGCTCCCCAGGGGAAGGGGCAGCTCCATGGCAAAGGGCAGGAGAGAAGTAGCAGTGAGGGGAAGGCGCAGCTGAAATGCTGGCACTTGATAGCCTCTTGGTCAAACCAGTCAGGATCACCTGCCAAAGCCACCGAGATCTACCAGTAGATTTCCATCTGCTGGTTGGTGACCACTGTTCTACAGTGTAAGCTTTATACTGCAGAGCCCACAGTGCATGTAACCACTAGGATTTTTAATGGTTACACAATTTTTTTAAAACTTTTTTACATCCCTAATGTAGAATACTTACACAATACAGTGCTAAAGTCAAAAAGAATTTATTTTGGATTAAACCAAGGTTCTACAGAAATAAAATCAATTTTTATAAGAAGTTCATTAAAAGCTGTGGAATTATAAAAACTAACTTCTCTGAAAAACTTAAATTGACCTGTACAATCAGAGAACTACGCCAGGCCACAGAATTCTATTGGTTCTAGCAGGCTATTAAATCTTGTAACTGTGTCTTTTCCTGTTATTTCACGTTGTGAACAAGATCATGCTTATATTCAATTTGTAAACAACTGGCCGTCGGTAGTGGAATGCTTGAAGGATTATCAAGATTAGCTGTCATAGGGAAATGCTCATTGCAGGAGGAGTGAGGTATTTCTCTTTGTATTGTATTTCAGGAGCACCCCTCACTTTGTGGACAACTTTGGACTGGGATTAATGAGAAGAGAGGTGAGACAATCAGGTTACGTAGTTTGGTTCCATCATATGCACTTGAAGTGACAGTTTTAGTGGGACTATAATCATGACAGAAGACTTCCCACATTTTCAGCATGTAGGGTAGCCTTATTTGACAAAAGGAATAATATTCCCAGTAGACCCAAAGTTTGTCAAGATAGAGGGAGAAATTACTTTTGTCAGGTATTTGTCAGAGATTTCAGAGGTGTGGCGAACAATCAATTCTTCCAACTTATAAAGTGCCATGTACACTACAGTGAATGGGTTCTTTAAAAACACATGTGGTAATAAAGTATTGGAAGGAGCATTTGTTTCCTTCATACTTGGAATCAAGTGTACTTACTGGTAAGTTGAGATTAAAATAATATTTTTACCATCTGTATAATATTTTTTACCATCTGTACAAATTCCCATTTCTTTGGCCAATGTTATGTTGTAAATAAAAATGCATCTTCTCATTCCATTTTGCTGTATGGTCATAACCACTCCAGAGAAGTTGAGTAGGAAAGAATGTGGGAAATACTGTCAATTTTATGATAGTTTCAGTATTCTTTTTTCTGAAATGCTTTGAGAATTGCATTCCAGTCAATGCACTGGCTCCGAGACCATAATAAATATTTTGTAAATCTATGAAAGGCATTATGTTTAGAGTTTTTCTTTTAGCAAATGAAGTTAATGTAACTCAACAATACAAATAAAATGCCTAGCTCTTACTGTAGCAGGCACTACACAGATCCATAAAGTAAGTACATATATTTATTTCTGAAGCAGAGACCTGTGGGGCACAGGTTGATTACAAGAAGAAATATTAATTTCAAATAATGTATGCTTTAGTGAGGCAAGCAATCCTGATGTTTACAAGCAGGTGGGGGTAAAGGTACATATCCAGGGCACACACTCAACTTGGATGGAAAATGTCTGAGGATAAGAATGTGGGAAACAGAGGGGACAAAGGGTTACAGTTTTAGGTGACTTAAATGACTGACAAAGCAGCATGAGTACACAACTCAGGGAAATCAAAACGTATAGTGCAAATGCTCTGGTCTAGGGGCTTGCAGTTTTGAGCAACACAGAAAATTTTATTTCATTAAGTGATGGTATGTGTCTCATTCAGAATATTTTTGCAAAATTTCACAATGAATCCAGCCACGTATTTACACATCCATATGAATTCCATCATTTTCAAACACAAGTCTGGTTGCCAGCAACATGATATGGGATAGGATCGGTATATCTAATTGACACACAGTCCATCCTTAGATTCAAAATTAACCCAAACTTAAAGAATCAATCATAAACCAAAGAAACAGAAAAAAGTCAAGCACCCAGAACAAAAAACTCAAAAGGATGAGAAACAAAGAAAATGAAAAATAGCAAAGGCTCATCTCTTCAAACCAGTATACCAAAGTTTTACAATTCTTCTTTTGATGTAACTGTTGTGTTTCTCTAATAAAATTAATAAATCTTTTCTATGAAGATCTGGAATTTGTCACCTGATCAATACTTTTGTGTACTAAAAATTAATAAGCAGCTAACCGTGCCTTCTCTAGAAAGCAATTTTTAATAACTATGCCATTTTTGCATCTCTCTCAGTAAAATAAAGAATGATGGATACCTATTTTTAAGATGTTACATCCTAAGGACGTTTTAAAATATTGGACTTGAGCATTTTTTACTTCTTTAGGAGCTAAAAAAAGGCTGTCTTTCTTTTTCCTTTTAACAAAAGAGAGAGAAGGAGGTATTGTGCTTAAAATATCTGAAGTATCCAATTGTATAAATTCCAGATATTTTCACAATTACTTTTGCAATTTCTTTCCAGAATTTAGAATTCTTGGAACAAAACAAAACAAAAAATTTACAAGTATACAGAAGCAGTTACTAGTAAGATCTGTTTAAAAGCCTATATATCACAAAATGGCATGCTACATCTTTAGTTACAGATATTTTTGAATATTCCATACCTTAAATACCGAAGGTATAAACCTATAACCCTCAAAGAACACAACATTGCCTGAATAAGAGATGGATCAACAGGTAGGAATCAACATGTTCGATGCTACAATTAGAATAATTTCAATAAATTTCTACTAGTGTTTTGTAAAATGAAAGATTTTGAATAGTTTCCTTTCACATAAAAAATGAAGGTGTAAAATGTAATAAGTAGTAGTAATATTCTCTATTACCAATCATATTCAATATGGAGTATTTATAAAATCTTAGCTATCCCTGTAAGCTTAATTTTTTCTAACCAGAAATCAGGCTCGCTCGCTCTCATATATTAATCATGTACCTGTGCTTGTGGTTGCAAACAAAGTGCCTGTAGTTGTGTTTGTAGGTTGTTTTCCATTATTCAACTGCTTCACTCTTTTCAGGTGAGATTTCCCATTGTAATGAACCTGAGCCTGTGCTGGAGAGTTCAGCTGTATATTGCACACTTCACAGAAGGAAAATAGTATCTTCTTTTTTTCTTTATTTAATTGATAGTCTGGTCTGTCATTCCTCAGTCCTTTCTCTTCAAAGCCCCATAGAAAAGTAGATGGATTCATAATTCCATCTTCAAAGATGTAGTCAGGACTTACTGGGTGCTTCATACCTACAAAATGAACAGAGTGTTGATGCCAGAAACTAAACAATAATGCTTATTTACTCATAAATTTAAAAGTAAGATCCTTACTTATTACTTACATACTGAGCATTGAGGACCAGGTTCAGAAAAAAGAAGCTTCCACATCTTGCATGATATTGCAGAAGCTACTAATACAGAAATGTGTATTTGTGTTACCTCAATAAGCTCTGCAATAATAAGCTAGTAATGTGTAACTTTCAATTTATAATACTAGTCCTTATATTGTTCCATCAATACTCTTTACAAAAAATAAATTGAGTGTCCTCACCTCTCCCCAGCAGAGATTAAGATTAGAACCCATTTGTAGTGAAGAGGGGAAAGTAAAGCTTTTTGCTTGCTGGTACACAAAATAGTGCCCGAATTCCTAAGGTAGTATTAGATTAAGAGGATGAAGAACAAAAATGATAATGAAATTTTTGGGACAGCAGAATATTTAAATAAATAAGGCTAATGAATGCTTTGCAATTTATAGCACCCAATGATCTCAAAGCTCTTTATTACAACATCAATTGTATCTCATAACAGACCTGTGAGGCAGTTGTTTTATTATTAAACAATTATATTGCAAGTAGCAGCTAGAGGTTAACTAGGCAGGAGGAGGGGGCTAGTGGGTATACAAATGCACAATAAATGATAGATCCTGTCTCACAAAGCTTACAATTCGCCTGATTTCCATAAGGTTTAAATGACGATTCCTGCAACAGGCAGCTTTTCTCAACTAACATTTCTATAAAAGAAAAAGTGATGTGGTGGTGGGAGAAATTCTAGCCCTGTTCGTTAAGATACCTCCCAAATTAAACCTATACATAAAATAGACCCACATGTTTCCTTCCGGAGCTTGCAAACATCCCAGTTCTGTGCATCTGCTACTCAACAGTTTTGCCAAAGTAAAATTAACAATATTGTTATTTCCACTGCTGTAGTGACCAGCAGTTAAACTACCAAGAATCAAGTCAATCTGGTAAATCTATGAATGTATCTACCATTTGTTTACACAGGTATTAAAAAAACCAGGCTGGCTTAGGTCAGCTGACTCAGGTTCGTGGAGACTCAAGGGCTGGAAATGTGGAGGGCTCAGAGCTTCAGCTCCAGCATGAGCCCAAACCTCAACACTGCAATTTTTCAGCGCTGTTGATGAGTAGTGGTAGAAATGTAGTACTGTGAGGTAAAGCAAATGTGCCAACTCTACAGTGCTACAGGGCTGGAGCACTCGCCAGCAGTAATTAGAATGTGCTTTGCACCCATAGGCACCCAACTCCCCCTCCCACCCACCAGTGGCCCTGCTAATTAACTCTTCCTCCTCCCTCCCAGCACTTAAACTGCCCACCTCAGTCAACTGTTCAAGTCCTACAGAAGGCTCTGGAAGAGAGGGGGAGGAGCAGGGATAGGCCTCACTTGGAGAGGAGGAAGGAAAAGGAGAGGCAGGGATGAGAGTTGAGGGAAGGGGTGCAGTGGGGGCAGGAAGAGATGGCACAGGGATGGGGCTTAGGAGAAGGGATCAGGTGTCAATAGGGGTAGGGGCAGCGTCCGGGATGGCGAGGTGACTGAGCACCTCCTGGGCCCAGAGAAAGCTGGTGACTATAAGGCCAATCAGCTGACCCAGGCCAACAACTACAGAACTTGTATCCCTGAGTAAGTGCACCCTGTGCTGCATTGTAAAACGAGGGTTCAGCTCAGACTCAAGCCTAACCCCACTTCTGCCAACAGACAGGGCCATCCTTTGGGGCCGGGAGGGGCAGCCTCTGCCACGCCTCTTCCTGAACCTGCTCTGCTTCCACTCCACCCTTTCCCTGAGCCCTGCCCCTGCTCTACCGCTACCCGGCCGTGTTTCCCTCCTTCTCTCAAGTCCCCCACTCCCCCCAGCTGAGCTATACAACCTAGGGATTACTGGGGAAGCTGGCGTGGGACAGCATAAAGGGTCCCCCTTCCAAACTCACTGTGGCGGTGGGAGCCCGGCAAGTGGAGCAACTTGGCAACCTGCTCTGCTCCGCCACCCATCTCCCAACCGGGTAACTCTGCTTTTCTGTGGCGGCAGGAAGAGGAGCGCCCCAGTCCCAGCCAGCTCTGCTCTACCAAGCAATGCAGGGCTTGAAGCACTCTGTAGTCGGAAGCAGGCTGGGACCAGAGCGCTCTGCTTTCCGCCACTGCAATGAAGTGGAACAAGCCAGCTGAGAGATGGGCAGCAACGTGGACCAGGTTGCTATGTGTGTCACTCTGCTTCCTGAGCTACCAGCCTCACTCCCAAAGTAATCACCCAGCCCACCCTGGGCCCTGCAGGCTCCCATCAATATAGGGAATTATCCTGCACATACGATGGTTGGGGGAGAGGGGGGCGGGGATACCATGGGGAATAGGGATTTTGAATGGTTACATTTTCAACTGCATTTTTACACCCCTAGTCCCCACTGTAAGAGAAACTCTCCATTCATTTCCCTACTCCTTGTGACCCAGTGGAATACTGGAACGAGTGTGATGCAATCAGTGGTCGATTTAGCAGGTCCTCCCTAGAACTGCTAAATTGACCCCCAGGAGATGGATCACCACAGCATCGATCTCCCGGTAAGTGAAGACAAGATCTATGGCTAGTAAGTATTTCAAGCCACCATTTTAGGATGAGGAAAAGTGAGGCTACAATAACTTAAATTTCTAAGTTAAACAGCAAGTCATTTGCTGGAATGAAAATATATTAACTTGCACGCAAATGCTGCTTTTACTACTATAGAATGGTATCCTCTCTTACATCCACTTTAGCACTTGTCAAATTTCTTTAAGACATGATTTTATTGATAAAAACTATTCTGAAGTACATCTTTTCTGTAGAATATGTTAAGGACCGTGTATATTACATTCCCCTCCCCAAAAAACAGTCAATAAAATTAACTGCAGCATAGCTGTCAGTAAAATGTATGCACATTGAAAAATGAATGTTCAAAAACCCTTATTAAAAATCATTTTGGTTTCTGGGCATTTAACTACATTTCAGACTAAGAAACATCTATCACTTGTGATCTTGTGACCTAGGCTAGATACTGTCACACTAAATCATTTAAGCGTATGTATCATATTTCAAGGCAAGCAACCAAGATCCCTGACTCAGCTGAGTTTACATGACATTTTCATCTAAAAATTTAATCCGTTTGTAGCTTCTGTCTTAGTTATTATATGAAAAATTGAAACTTTTTTTTGAGTCTATTTACTATGTAATAAGATTGTTAATGCATGAGAACACTGGACTTTTGGTTTCCTGAATTATCACAGTTACGGAAATACAATATTCATTTCTATATTCCATTTGTTCAGAAGCATGTAAAATGCACAACTGTATTAATCTCATGATAGAGAGCACGAATATAGAGTAGAGACAGCCGAATAATTTTCAATAAAACAACTTTCTGCAAAGCATTTTGGTTTCAAGTAAGCAGTGTCTTCCAGCAGAAAGGTGTTAATAGCCATTTCTAGCCGGAATGGTTGCTTCTTGTGTATATGGCAAGTACCTTCCCAGACCTGAAGAGCAGCTCTGTGTGTCTCACAAAAACAGAGTTGGTCCATAAAAGATATTACCTTTCCCACCTTCTGTGTCCAATATATGGGACCAACTTGATAACAACTACACTACATATATCATAGAACTAGGCTAGTTTTGATAGTACATTTCAAGACATACCCTAATTAGGCACTGCAAAGAAAAGCCTTGGGCTCCCACATCCCAAGCCAGTGTCTGAACCTGAGGGCTAGAGGGGGAGTCAGTCTGCCTTGCCCTCTCCATCAGAATAAAAACATTCAAAACTTAAAATTGAATTTATGTATTTGCCAAACAAATGCAATATCCCAGCCTGTCCTAGAAAAAAAAGTATTGTCTTGGCTGGCATCAGAACAGGTCAAATAATTATATAGGGATGTAATAACACACTAATAGTAACTGGTTAAACATTTGGTTTAACCAGTTAATCAGGGTCCAGCTGGCTAAGCCGGTTATCTGGTTACCTTGTGCAAGCAGGCTATTGGGACTGAAAGCCTTGACTTTTTATATTTGTTTAGGTTTGGTGATATAATAATGTAGTTTAATGATAGCAATATAAGGTTTATGTAAATACATATTTAATATTTCATTAAATTAAGTACTTTTAGTCAAATGTCTATTTCTTTGTCCTAAAGTTTAGTAAATGGGCCTAAGTAAAAAGATAGTTTTTGATATTGTGTCTGTGTTAATAAGACTAAAAGGATGTTGAAGGCTGAGGCCTTAATTGTTTGATTTACAATGCCTCCGTCTTGCCAATGCAGATGTTGATGTTGTGCTGCATAACCTTGAGAGCCCTTGTAACATTGCTTGTGTGTGTGAAAAGGGAATGAATGTGTTGAGATAAGGTACAAAAGTTATTGCTCAGAACCAGATGGCCAAAGAGGGAGGTTGAGTGTGGGCAAAGACCAGACTTCAGATGATCTGGCATCAAAAATGAATACCGTATTTTCCGGCGTATAAGGGACTAGGCGTATAAAACGACCCCCTAATTTTCTAGTTAAAACATAGGTTTTCGCCTATACTCGCCGTATAAGACTACCCCCCCCTTAAGAGGCCAACCGGCAGCGCCCCAGCGCCCCTCCGCCTCCCCGGCTTTGCTCCCGGTGTCCCTGGTCTGCTGGAGACGGTCCCCAG